GTACGAAGTTACGGAAAATCAATTAAAAAAAACGGAGACGTAACAGTATTGTCATTCTGCATTTTTTACGTTCTAATGCAACCATTTATTCAAGCGACTGACAGAGAGAAACTGGTGAATCGATGCATTATAGTCATTATAAGCCTTTGATTTAGACATTTCATATTTCTAGTGAGACCATTATATTGAACAAGCTGCTTAATTATTGGGCTAATTGTTAGTTCTGATCTATGCAGATAGCTTGCTTTGATCAGAAGTTAACGATAATACCTAACTCTGTTTTATGTTACTAAACTAACCAATTAAAGATATTAAAGATACAGTATTTCGAACCTATTTTTGATATGTATATACTGTTTTAATGTAACAAAATAATTAATAAACCAAGAGAGAATCTTCAATAGCCGCCGTACCTGAAATTATTTTAGGCAGGATTAGAGTAAATTAATCTATGACATATTTTTTGCCTTTTTTATTAGCTATATTTTTGTGTGCCAGCAATACTAAGCGCGGGTCACGCGTATACCCGATTCGATTTTATTACTTATCAAGATCTCTCCAAGCCTATCCTCAAATTGAAATACTTTTAGGCAGAATTAGAATAAATTAATCTATGAGACATTGGGCGTGGTTAAATATATCAATCGAAAGGGTATGACCTCTTGAATCGAAAACTGTAATTAGATCTCAAATCGGCCAAGAGATGATGGAGCTATGAGATAAAAGTTTGTACTTGAAAAAATAAACAAAAAACTTAGAGCCGTTGTATGAGCCGCTCATCCGCTGCTAAAAATGACAAAACTTGTTCTAATTATAGTACCTTAACTGACTATATTAATTACAAAGTTCCAACAAACCGCAGAGGATTCACTAACAAGACAGCTATGTCCTCTCAGGACAATTATGTGATAAAAATCCAAATCATTTAATTTCTTATTTATATATAAATTATATTAAACAAAATAGAAACAACAAATTGAAAAATTGTCTCTACTAATTTCATTTAGCCGGTTTACATCTGGTGATCGAAGCAGGACAAATGTATTGTTCCATTAGACTTCTTTCTCTCTTGCTATACGATTGTGTATGTTATATTAAAACGATTTTGATTATGCAAATCAACAAATTACGCGACAACCACAGCCGATATAAAGTCACAGTGAAACGACATGTATCACAACAACATTCTGACATTATTTGGCGTTACGTAGATATTGTGATGGAACCAAAAATTGATCGCTTTTAGGAAGGGTTTGTAATATGAAGATGTGTTCTGATCGGGGATTTATAATTTCAAAGACGGGAATATCCCTTGTACTTAATGGCATTAGAAAATAAAGTAATATGAATCAAGTTGAGCAACAGGCCAATACAGAAAGAGACTTGAAAAAGTTGTACTCCTAGCCGTTATAAGCAAAGTTTGGTGTTTTGTAAGAGGTGAGAATCCACGATAAGAATGCCATTGACAAAAGCCATCTACGTGCCCTAGTCAACAGCACTAAACATGATCAAGAAGAAACTCAGTCTGGAAACGAACTTGGTATGAGTTAATAAAATAAGGTTTCAATATATACTTCCCGTCAACCACCGCATATTTAAAGTAGCTTGAGAATAAAACGTTTATTCATGTTATTCCATATGAAGACATAGTGGACAAATCACCGGACACAATGTCTATGGATTTCTGTGCGATTAAACTATTCAAATGGGTGCTGCGAAACTATTATCTTCGTACAATAGATGGATTATGGAAAGCATCAGAGAGGATCGGTGTGCATTGAACATGACAGTCTTACAGCGGAGTGTTTTGCAATGGAAACTACGCTGCTACTGTCAAGATGCACGGTCGTCAGATAGAGCATGACCAGACGTGGCGACATGGTGAGGCTCTATAATTGTCTTAATATAATGTACTCAACTTCTGTATTATGAGGTACGCTCCTAGAATCAAATAATTTTTATTCAAATTATATTTATATGAACACAGATCGATATAGTTTGATCTTTGAAACTTTTATTAAATTTCGTATCTCATAGTCAAATGAGAAAACAGTTTCGTGACACATCTCATTATTTCTGGTGGTACATACATTCTATCTATAATCAAAACCGTTTAGAGTAATCAGTCGAACGACAACTTCCAGTGACTATGAAGAGAGAGAACAATGTAATGTATTATTATAAATCATGCATAGACTAATTTAAGACTTGCACAGGCTTCTTCTCTGGCTCAGGGGTAAGTATGCGGGTTAATAATGCTAACACTCAAGGTTTGATCCCTGTAGTTGGCACACTCAGATATCCTATCGTGCAACTTTGTGTTTAAATGAGTTAATGCACAGCAGACAACGTAATTTTACTAATGTTTCTTACTCGTATGTGTTAATGCACAGCAGACAACGCAATTTTACTAATGTTTCTTACTCGTATGTGACAAGCCGTGTCGAAATATTTGTAGTTTTCATTCCTTTATATTTTTGCAAATAAAAAACTAAATCTATGACCTGTTTACACTTGTATAAAAGCGAATTCAAACTCAGATACAGCAATCTTTATTGGGGTATTCACTATGTTATTTACGTTGCAAATGCTTTCAGGTCGCGTGACTCACGAAATACAAGTCGTGTGTGAAACCACTTTTTTAGAATATGGTCTAAGGTTTACTATATTATGAAATCTCGAGAAGTATTTGACCCTACCGACCTTGCTGAATTTCTGAAAATGCCCATAGCTCGAAAATTTAGATGAAATGTAAAATCTACTTCCTTTTAGAAACTTTAATAATGTGAATTCAGTTGAGATGTTTACAATATATTCAGGGGCACCAGATGCAAAATTACATTGGTGGGGGTAGTGAACAATAACAAAATGTCACTAAAAAAAGCCCGTGTCTATTACACCTTTTCTACGCACGTGTATGTGCTTTGGATTGTAAACATTACACGAGGGGTGATTTGCTATGACGTAATTCTACTTTTACAATGCAAAGTCAATAGCATAAAATTTCTCATTTTTATCTATTTGAAGTTTAATGTTGGTTACTTATTATTATTGGCAGAAATCAAAAATTAATTCAAACTAGTATTACATTTTAAAGCTAAATGTTTCACTGCGCATGCAATAGACACGACGAAAAAAAAAAGAACTACGGCCATGGCACAAGTTCATTATTAAAGTTTCTAAAAGGAAGTAGCAGAAAATTGTTGTCGACCGATGAAAATGCATCAAGTAAGGAAACTATTTTCACAATACTTAAATATACAAGTGCCATACGCATTTTTCAGTTTATGTAACTTGTAGGTCTATTAAGTTCATACCCGTATATGTAATATTTGGCCTAGAATGAGCCCATATAACATACAGATTAGCAAGAACCAGCCGCATCGCCATCGACTAGCTTAAAACTTGACTGTCAGCCAATACTGTTGGGGCATAATTTAGTTTACTAATAATTATTTTAAAAAGAAGCTTTCTAAAAACTTTACCGGCCAAATTATTGGTAGCACAGATGCCCCCACTGGTTCTGGTGCTCTTGTTCTCTCAAACTATTTTGTCTGTAAGAACTCTTCTGGTAAATATTTATATTTGACTGTAAAACGTTGAAGATTACTCACTTTTCTAGATGGCAGTCCGGTTTTTCCTGTTAAACTGTTGTTTCCAAACCCGAGCTCTATTTTCGCTAGAAGTTCCCGGTGAAGTTTCTCCAACGTGTCTCTGCTTTTAGTAGATTCTTGCTCAAGTTGGGTGGTTTTCTTTCGCTCATCTACGTAACGTTCCTTCCAGATACTCTTAGCTGAAACATATGATTTTTGGGTTTAGCTGTTTCAAACAAGATTGAGGAAGTTAGTGTATTACAGTATTTTCTGCTTGTTGCATCCCCTGAATATTTGGTCAGGCATGGCCAGGTGGTTAGGGCGCTTAACTCGCAATCTGAGGGTCGCGGGTTCAAATTCCCGTCCCACCAAATCATGCTCGCCCTTTCTGGCGTGGGAGCGTTATAAAGTCGCGGTCAACCCCACTATTATTTGATAAAATAGTAGTCCAACAGTTGGCGGTGGGTGGTGATGACTAGCTGCCTTCCCTCTAGTCTTTCACTGCTAAATTAGGGACGGCTAGTGCAGATAGCCCTCGTTTAGCTTTGCGCGAAATTCAAAACCAAACCAAACTTAAACCCTGAATATGGTTTTCGGTGCTTAACACTCCTGAGTTCTTGTACAGTTACCCGACTTCAAAAAATAAATAAAGGACTGAGAACAATCTTCTATATGAAAGAGGATAATAAAACTGTTTAAGTTTTCTGTGACAAAGACAGGAACGGAAAAATTACTCTAAACTTTGTTCTCCAATGGAAATAGTATATTGTTACGTCTCCGTTTGTTAATTAACTTTCTGTAACTTCGTTCCGACGAAACTTAAGCGACACAAGTCCTTTTTAATAAAACTGGTTTATTCTTTCCGAATATAACTCTGCGATACACTTAATCTCAATATTCGCGCTAAAACAAACAGTATCACGAACGAACGTTAACTTCAACAATACCCTGTGACTGCAGTTCAATTACTCATTACCTACACACACATTACCTTCCATTATATATACCAGCGTACCCTATTTCTAGTAAAAACTTGAACATTCGCCACAGTACATGATTGTTCTAGAAACGTTGTGTCACGTGGTCATGTGACTCGCTGACGCAACAATATAATTGACCAAGACTATAACGCTCAACGAAAACACACAGCTTTAATTCTAAAATTACCGCCTTGTTTCGTACCATTCATTAACAGTGGGGTCCACATATTGCGTTACATTGAAACATTTCATGTTGGATGATACAACACTAACTTTACAAATTAGGTAAAATCATGTAAAATACATACGAAATCCCAACAGTGATCAATGGGATTTGAAGAGTCCGTTTAAAAAGCTGGTACGGACCTTATTCGGAATGGTAACTTCAACTTAATAACGAAAACAAATAAAAATATATCATTAGATCTTTCGCATCTTTTGCATTTATTCACAACATGATAATAATATGGAATTATGAGCATATCTTGAATTCTATATCTGTCTGCAAAACGACAAGAAGTAGCATTAAAAACACTTTTTAGCAATTTTCTTTGGAAGTTTTATTTAACTTGAAAACAGTGCGTAAATAGAAGTTATCGTACATATTACATTAAACTATTGATGTCTCTCTTAAGCTCTTGTTAACAAAAATACGGAAATGTTCACGTAATAATGAACCAAATGTACATTTCGTTCTTCATTATGATTATAGTAAGTGTATTAAAATCCTCATTTGCTGTAAACGCAAAAAAGAGCAAAAAGAAATCAAAACATATATATTGTTGCGTCAGCGAGTCACATGACCACGTGACGCAACGTTTCTAGAATTATCATGTACTTTCGGGAATGCTCT